TGAATTATGACTGAAGTTATTTTGGTTTCAGCTTCTTTCTTTGTTTCTTTTTAATTCCCAAGAAGAAAGACAGCACTACTTACTGATTCAAGAACTATAAAGAAACATCTTAAACTAAAGTCTTACAGTTTGCTAAAACTTCAAAGTTCCAAATTGCAGTAATTTAAAATTCAAACAAATGCATTTACATTTAGCAGGAAAATGAAGTTTAAACACAAGGGCTTAAGGTATTTATTACTCCAACAATATAAAAATGAATTCCTACAAGGAGCTGTGCCATTTTCTGCTAACCACTAAGAAGGTTTCTAGCCAGACCCCACTGCTCATTGCCCCAGCTACTATTTAACGCCCTGTCTGGGTATGGTGTGACTAAGCCTTCCCGTTCCACAGTGGCTGAACACTGTGCCTGTTTTTTTCTATCTATCTCTGTCATACACAGTTTGATTTTACTGGGGAATGGTGGGCATTGTGTGAATGTCTGGGAGCAAACATCCCAGAGGCTGACAGAAAAAAATTAAAAAGAGGCTAAAATATACTCCATGTTCACCCCCATGAGTCTGCACACCAAGTACATGAGGATGAGCCCTCCTTTACTGACAAAAAGCATTTCTCAAAGGGTGGATTCTGGGGCACCCAGCTCAGCCCATCAGCACCAGCATCCCGTGGGAACACAGCAGAAATGAAAACTCTCAGGTCCCAGGCAATCAGAAACCCTAAAGAGGGCATCCAGGAAATTGGGTTTTAACAAGACTTCAAAGTGATTCTGATGTACACTTAAAGGAGACAACCCTAGCTCTAGAAAGACCATAAAACCAGGAAATTAAACCTACACTAGGGTTTCTCAGTCTCTGCACTCCTGACTTTTGGGACTAAATATTCTTTAGCATGGGGACTGCCTACCCTGTGTATTCCTGGCATGGACCTACACACCAGCACTTTCTTCTCTGCAACCCTACAAACTCAGAAGGGCTCTGGATACTGTTATGGTTCACGAGATGCCAAAATCACTAGTGCAGACTTCAGAAAGTGCATACTAACTTCGGACAGCTTTTCTAAATATTCTTGTTCTCATAGCCTGAAACTTTATAAAATGAATTAACTTCAGCTGGACCCTATTTTAAATGTGTAATGTTCTTTCGCTAAGCATTAAAGCAAAACTGTATAGAAAGGCTGCAATCTCATTACTTTAATCTTGAAAATTAGTAGAGTAATGATGAATTTTTTTTTAACTTTAAAAAGGAAAAGTAAAAAAGGATGAAAAAATTGAATCATAACAAAAGGTTAAAAAAAATTTTAGTGTGGAGTCATGATTCACAGATTAATACTTCCTGGTTAGCATCTCCAGATATAATTTTAAAAACTGGGCGCACAGCAAAAAGAAACAGGGTCCTAGAGTCAGACCTAGGTTCTGGTATCACTCATCACTCAATGACAACAGGATCTTGGGCAGTTATTTCAGTGAGTTTTGTGCCTCCCTTTTCTAACTCCCCAGGGCTGTTCCAAGGTGATGCTTGTCCCTTTTCCCATAACCCTCCCCAGCAAGCACCCTCAGCTAAACACACTGCTCTTTCAGCAGTAAAATGGCCGAGTCTTCACACTGCAGAGGTACATCTGTTCAGGTCAAACGTTAGCACCAAATGATTTTTCAGGTAAAACTTACATGTGTGGGGGCACATGTGTGCACACACAATGTGACTTTCAAAACATAGTGAATTTTGCAACTGCTGACTTTAGCTACTCTTGGGGTAGGGTGACATGAGGATTCCATCAGAAACAAGCATAGGTCTGCTCTTGCATTGGTACACAGTGGGCTTTCTCATGGTTACTGGTTTTTGTTTCTTGGTTTTTTTTTGTTTTTTGGTTTTTTTTGGAGAACCAGGAATTGAACTCAGGCCCTTGCGCTTGCCAGGGAAGTGCTTATTCCACTGAGCCATCTCCCCGGCTATTAGAGAGGGGAGATGTTATTGTTATTTCTAAAACACAAGTTCTAATATATTATCTGTTTGTTCTGAATTCTTGGATGCTTCCTCACTGCCTATAAAATAAGGTTCAAATTTCTAAGAGGACACAACAAGGCCCTTCCTACACTGGATGCCAGGATGCCCACTCTGTCCTCTCTCCTGCCATGGCAGCCCTCCTACCTCTGCTCAGGTCACCTACAAAGCTGCGCTTCTTTATCCTTAAAATCTCCTCCTGTCTTTCCTGCTGCCTACAAGGCAGATACAAATCTCTCCTCTGATAGACCATTTCTGTATCTACAAAGACCAGCTCCATTGACCCCTTCCTGTGGCTATCCTTGCACCCCATCCTAACCTAGGCACTTGTTCTGTGTTTCTTCCCACCACCCTGGCAACAGAGTCCAAAGTGCTATCTCTAAGCACACTGCCTAGTTCAGAAAGAATGATGTTGGTGTCTGCTGGCTGTCTTTACCCCACAGGTTTCGGCCTAGCACTTGGTAAACGTCCAACAAATACATGGATAAATAAGAAAAGTCTGTGCTCTACTGCCTCAGACATTTGTGTTAGCTTTTCTCTGATTTTGCTGGCTAACAAAAATCAATGATCAGAAGTTTTATCAGTGCAGGTTCTGAGGCAGGAGATGGGGCGGGGCAAGCTGGCTGGGGAAGTGGGTGTGACTTTTTATTACAGAGTTCCAGGATGCAATGCACAGAACATTTCCCAAAACATTTCTCTGCAGGCGGAACCAATCAGAGAGTGCTACCTTCAGTTCTTCTCCACAGAACTTTGGCAGGTTTTTGATAGGTCTCCCTAAACCCCATGTCAGCCTGAAGAGTGCAAGATACAAAGGATAGCTAACATAAGCTAGGGCACTGTTGACTCTCAGTGGCCCGCCCTGTCATTCGCAAGGTCTACCTCCTTTCTTACGGTTAGTTGGATTGAACTCACTATGCAGAGCATATTTCTTTTCTTCGCATACCTTTAATAAATGTAAAAACTTGGCCACCTTTCATGCTGGGCTTGATAAATCCTTTATTCAAGACAGAAAGAATCTAGAAACCACCTAAATACATGGAATGGTGTGATATTAAAAATGACAACGTAACCAAAAGCACAGCCAACAACAGAAAATACAGTCACTTGCTTTCATTAAACCTCATGAAATGGAGCATCTACAGAAAAGGCTGCTCTATCTCCAAGCTATTCCTATGAGCATGAGACACAAACAGGAACCTTAGGCGCCAACCCTCACAGGCACCATCAGCTAAGGGTCCAAGAGCCACTGGGGCTGACTTGACCCAAGCCCTGATCCCACAATACATTGGTCCCAGAGCAGCTTAGTAATCACTCTTTCTAAAACATTTTTATCACCACTGCTGCTGCCCAGTATTCCAAATATTCAGCAAAGTATCCAACATGCATGAGTCAGAAATAAAATATTTTACCCAATAAAGACTACTTTTTCTTTTAACCCAGGGCCTTCACACTGAGTTCATCCATAGTCCCCTCACCACACACACACTTTTTTTAAATTTTGAGACAAAGTCTTGCTAAACTGTGCAGGCTGGGCTCAACCTTCTAGTCCTCTTGCCTCAGCCTTCTGAGCTCTGAGATCACAGGTACGTACCACACGCACATGGCTATCTATGATCAAATCACATAGAGAGCATATCACATTTCCTCCATCCTTTGCTTTCGATTGCTTACATTCCTGTTGTGTCCCTGTGTCACAGGCATCCAGTGTTTCCCTACCTCTTTCCTGCTTCACACACCAAGCACTACCCATCCCTTCCCCACCTTGTTTGAGGTTCCCTACACATAAATGCAGGGCCAGTGGCAGGCCACCGCCTGCTCAATCTCACTACCATACTAAGGGGGGAAAAAAAAGCCTGTTTATTCAAAAGCCAAACAAAAAGGTCAAACAGGAGCTGAGGGCCTCTAGGCTTCTCTTCCCACTGCGGCCAGTCCCTCCAAGTAACTTACTTCAAAGAACCATGATTATGAACGTCTGTCTCGGCCTCTAGCTTAGAGCAAGTAGCAGTCCCCTATCTTCCACCCAGGACACCTCTCCACTTTTGACCTACCACTCGTTAGGACCACTCTTTGGACCAAGCGAAGTGTCATTCGAGAAAAGCAATAAACATCAGTCACTTCCTCCACCAGAAAAGCACTTAAGTTTTAAATCCTTATAGAGTCTTTTTTAAGATCACTGAAATTTTAAAACAAGTAATACTGCTCCTAGTCAGGCATGCTGCCCTGAGGGCCAGAGAGGACAACCGAGGAGTCCAGAGTTCCGCTTCCTGCCTCGCTAGAATCTCTGTGACTCAGTCACTAATGGAATTTCACCTCTGTAGCCTCAGTTTCCTCTTGGTTAAGTGAAAGAAACTAACCCAACTCATTCTTTCCCAAAGGGTGGTGGGCATCCAACGCGAGATGCACGAGGACAGGATGGGGACAACTGGATGTACACAGACTCGCGTGGTTTAGTTTATTTTTGCGGGAAGTAATATTGGTCTTCTTACTGGTAAAGATAGAAATAAAATTCCTACTGAAATAAATGCACCTAGTCTTCTTAAAAATGAATCATTTGCTTTAAAAAAAAAATCTAGTAAGAGCTCGCTCGGGTAGTTCTAGTAACAGTGGTGAAAATCTGGCGTAGGGGAAAGAGGTGCACACCCCGGAGCACACCGAAGCGCGAGGCGAGCACCCCGAGGTGCGCAGCCCTGGAACCCCTGGGAACCGGCCGCCAGGGCCCCTGCGCCCCGAAGGAGTAACCGGGTCGCCCGGAAACTCGTGCGCGCCTGCCGCAGCCCCACGCAGGGGAAGGCTGGAAGGCGCCCCGGGCGGTCGGGGGCTGCTGGAGGCG